GGATTGAAAAGCTAGCTTTAACTCTCCCTGCGATTCGATCTAAAACGGTACCCTAAAGTCTGCCTGGGGTTGGTTTTAAAGGTTCCTTGAAATTTGCCTAAGACGGCATAAAATGCCTTGAATCTGACTGAGATTGGATTGAAAAGTTAAAAAAAAAGAAAAATCTGTGGGAGATTGGATATAAAAAGGTACATTGGAGTCTGTCTGAAATTTCATATGCAAAAAGTGCCTTAAAATCTACCTGAGAATGGTTTTAAAAAGGCACCTTGATACTCAGAGTTTGGATAAAAATTATTATATTGATAATTATTAATCTATCTCTTGACACTCAAGTCTTTATATTTACAAAGAAGGCTTTCCTTGGATGTGTTCTCTTCCCGATATAGCTTCGATTAATCCCATTGTAAAGATTTTCCTTATATATATCTATATAATCAATTGGGCACCTCGAGGTGGTGTAATGGTTAGCAAGTTTGTCTCGCTAGAATACTTACGAATGAGTAGTGAGTTCGATCCTCACTCGGTGCCCCTTACTTTCGGCCTTTTGCCACATCCAAGCTACGCTTGGAAAAATCACTATATCTATATAATCGATTTACCTTAACTTTACCTGTGTGCTATGCCCACACATTTTGCCAATTTTGCCAACAAGTCATTAGGCTGTGTTGTGAAACAACGATAAAAATCGGACACTTCCTGTCTACATCCTCTTTTTTCTCTCTTCTTTCTTTTCCGTGCATCATGATGAAACGGCGACACCTACAGGACCTTGTTCCCGAGCACGGTGATATCTTTCTCCTTAGAGAATAAACTCTTTCACACACACACAAACACACACCCACACACATTCTCTCTCTCTCTTTCTCTCTCTCTCTCTCTCTCTCTCTCTCTCTCTCTCTCTCTCTCTCGTGTGTGTGTGTCACTCACATAATTCTACTTTCTTTTTGCATGCTCCTGAGTGTATTTTCTCTCTCTTGCCACTCAGATGTATAAAAACAAAAATATAGAATATCACCTTTTGTATGTCAACCTTTCCCCTACTGCAAACCTAATAGGCATCAGTAGGACAGTAGAAGGATCCCCAGTGAGGATCGTACGAACTTTGCGACCAAATTGTTTAGAAAACTAGTTTTGTTAATGTCAAACCATGCTCATTTTGCTCTCCATGTCTAAGAATATCTCAACCCGTTCTCTTTTTAGTAATGTTCAGTTATTGCTAGCACCGTTTCAAATGAGACTCTACTGCCCAGCTCACGGATTGAACTCACAACCAACGCTTTAACCCATTACAGCTCATCTACGATAGCCAAATGCGTTAAAGCTAAACAGGTGATTATCATTCTTTTTAGCCATCGTGACTATGATGATGACCTTCAACAAGTTGTTGGCATTGTGAGGTCAAAGGTTATTTCCCCTCAACGTGTATCAGTCCAAAGAATTTAAATGTGAATTCTGGGGTTACTTCTTGGATGCGACGTGATCGGAAAGATTCTTGACCAGCGACTCCGGAGCTACGTGGGCTATGTGGGAAAGAACAGAGTCAGACAGGAACAGTTTGTCTCCAACGATTGATATATGATAACCCGGACACGAGGAAACGATTGAACCTTGTAAATTACGGGAAAAAAAAAACCTCTTACTTATCGTCATTTACTGTTTTCCCACTTTTTTCTTGTTAACTGTAAGTTCGTTGTTACAATATATATATATATATATATATATATATATATATATATATATATATATATATATATATATATATAAAATACATAGATAAATAAATTAAATAATAAAATAAAACGAATAAGTAAATCGCATTCTTTTTATGCGTCCTCGTTAAACATGATATCACGCTAGAGTGTTTACAACGTCCAGATACCCAAAGGATACCAGGATACAGACAAAGGAATTCTAACTACAATACAGACCCCATATTGATTCTTGATAATGACTGCGAAAGTCAAAAGAACAAAATATGAACCTTGAACAGTTTATCCACAACTTGACCGCAATACTCAACACCTTATCCCAAAATTGAAAAAATATAAAAATTAAACAGACCTTCTCGTTTCTTTTTAATCAAACTTTATATATATATATATATATATATATATATATGTGTGTGTGTGTGTGTGTGTGTGTGTGTGTGTGTGTGTGTGTGCACTTAAAAATTGGTAAAAATGGAGAACTCATTACAATGCCATTATCAGCTGATTACTTCGGACGGAATTCATTGACTATCTTCGTGACCTATTGTCACGAAGATAGTCAATGAATTCCGTCCTAAGCTGATCATGGATATTTCGAAATACGTTTTAGGGAAATAATTATTTTTAAAGAAAATTTAAAAAGCAAAATTTATGTAGTTCCTGAAGAAGGTATTGTTAATGGTCAAAAGTGTTAAAGCTATTTTCCAAAGTTTCGTGCTGAAGATGAACGATGTAGTACATTTAAAGTTGAAGCGATCAAATCAAGACAAATTAGGAATGATCAGCATGGCAAGAGAGATAGTTAATATGCTTAAAGTATTCAAATCAAGTAAAAAAAAATGTTTATCTTAGTCGCTTTGATGTGTGATTTCCAAATAAGTGTCCTAACCCTTCTGGATGGCATTTTTGTTCCTTATTTTTTAAATAAATTGTGACGACTGTTGAAAACTTGACACATAACAAAAATACACAACATGGGAGATCGCAGGACGCGTAAAATAAAGCACATCTTCTCCTTCTGTCGATTAAACGAAGTCGACGAACGGAGTTCAAATTACGATCTATTCTGTTCCCTTCGATTCGCGATAATGCTCTTGAAAAAAGGCATGAATCCACTTCGCCCCTTATATGGTTTAAATATCAGAATACAACAGACTCTTGAGGTCGCAACCAGTCTAAGAGAAAGAAAACTCATAATTAAAAGTAAACCTGAAGAGGGATAGTCTCCGTCAGGTAATCGTGCCTTAGACACACCACTCCTGCTAAGGCATCTAGAATCCTATTGGAATTCAGTCACTCATCGCTACTTTTCGGATGTGGGATATCATTGCTTTCCTCAACTTCTTTGACTCTTGTTGCTTTAATTCTTGTCTCTCTTTCTCCTTCCTCTGCCAACCATAAACTCAAAGTCTTCAAATAGGATACACGCAGTTACCCCTACTTCTCTTGACTTCAGCATGTCTGGTGAGTGTTAATTTCTCCAAACCTTCTTTCCACACTAACTGTTTTTCATCAAAAGAAGGAAACGCTGTTTATGGTGTGATTGAAAATGAGTCTTCTACTATGAGCAATCAAATGATTAATTCGAACAAGTACTGCTCCCGATTATATCGATTTAAAGCAGCAATCAGCGAAAATTGTCCAGCCATAATTAGATGAACGTTTTAACGGTGTTCCATCCTAACTAGGGAGTTTTCATTAATCTGCAGTATTCCCGCTATTTCACGGAAGATTACATTTATTCCCGTTTTTACAAAATCCTCTTAATGAAAAACATCTTTTCCAGGAAGATTGCGAAAAGCAGTTCTTTGCTGTTAAGGTTAAAAATGTGTGGAAACAAGAAATCGTGTAAGTCCGGGAAAAAAATTATAAATTTTATTTATTTATTTATGTATTTGTGCACCAAATACAAGTGCCGGCAAGATTAAATTAGTTCCTTCAATTCGTCCCATCCGTCAGCACGGGGCTTATTTACGCTTATAAATTTCCAAATAATTTTCACCGCGCCGTCTAAAAATTCTGCGCTCGTTTTAAAGTTAAAAAATTAAAATCATCATGATTATTCAGGAAGGCATTTGTATCTGGTACAAAAGAATAGGCGACCTTATTTCAAAAACCCGAAACATCGTCTGGGTCAATGAATATATTTTGGCACAATAACGATTTATATTTTCGTATTTCGAACAGAAATATATCCATGATTAATATCTTAAATAAAAAGAATAAAAAAATTCACAATTCGTTTTTTTTTTCATTCACCTAAGTTGTCTGATTTTTAAAAAAATCATTCACCGACGTTCTTTTAAGATTATTTCTTCTTCGTATCAAAAATATTTCATGATTTTTCATGACAACCATCTTTTCTAGTTGTTGAATTATTTGATTTTTACAGTTTATCAACCCTAATATTTTGAACTGTTAGAATACTTCTTTATTGTTAGTGAATATTGCATCGACATTTTTTTTAAGAATAACAATGATATTTCTAGATACAAATCCAAATATATGACCCATAGATGGAGATGAATACAAGAATATTTGCGTGTAAGTGAATGTAACCAACCCGATTGGAATTCGAACTAAGGTCTCCTATTTCTCATTCTAACCGCTAGCCACTGCACAAGCAGCACGCACCTTTATTCTCCTTCATCAAGCACAAACAGTCTAGGGATAAGCATATATAAACAGATTGCAATTGTGGCTAACAAAGCAGTGGCGATGGTTAGTGTTCCAGTTTAGATAAAAGGTACAATTTCAAAAGCTGATTTTCAGGGCTAGTTCGCCATTAGATTAGATTACCTTATTACCTCCAATGTCCAATCTCAAAAGAGTATATATATATATATATATATATATATATATATATATATATATATATATATATATATATATATATAAAATTTACAAGTGAAAATTTCATGCTAAACAAAATCCTCAAGCCATGTGCCTGACGATTGCATTTAACATGAAACAGACTGTCACCTCTGGGTCTTGATTTCAATGTCAACTTTTATATTTGTATATGCTCTATCCTTGATATTGAGAAGTTTAACTATATATATATATATATATATATATATATATATATATATATATATATATATATATATATATATATATATATATATATATGTGTGCGTGTGTGATAAAATTTAATTTTAAGGTATGTTATATTTCTCTCTATATATATGTTATAATTCTCTCTCTCTCTCTCTCTCTCTCTCTCTATATATATATATATATATATATATATATATACAGACAGACAGAAACAGAGACAGAAAGACAGACAGAGATAGATAGATAGATAGATAGATATGAACAGGCATAGATAGATAGATAGATAGATAGATAGATAGATAGATAGATAGATAAATAGATAGATATACACAGTGTGCGATAGATAAATTGTCGTCATTTTATATTTTTCAATTTCGCGCAAGCCCATTGTTTGTTTTTGATTTTGTCGACTGCATAGAATAGTAGGGTCAGTTGGGCACCGTCTGCGAGAAAAAGAAGACAATGATGCTTTTCACTCCGCCAGAAATTAAGAAACAGAATTACTCTACTGCTTGGCATTCACACCGGAAGCCCCAATATGAACATTGAAGTATGTTTGGGTATCAATCTGACGACAGTGCAGAGGATTCGGAAAGCGTTGGATGTAGAGTCTAATTGTGATTACGAAAGTACGGCAGCTCGGAAAACTCACTCTAATGGTTCTGATAAGAAAAACTTCCGATTTTGTTGATGAGGACCTCAGACTCAACACGTAGGCCTATATGAAGTGCTTTGGTCAAGAAGGTGGCTGCTGGAAGGCCCTATAACAGACAACTGGACTTTTTACCATGCCACACAAGCATGAGAACCTAGTCATGGCTGCCAGACAATTTCTGCGACCATATCACTCCTTACATTTGGTCACTTAACTCCCCAGACTGCAACCCCCCTTGATTCTTATATGTGGGTGCAGTTGAGCGAGAGACCAACAAAACTCCTCGGGACACCAAAGATGAACTGAAGGCAAGGATTATGGCAGCAGTTACCAACTTAAGCAAGGAAACAGTCCAAAAGAGTTGCAGAAGATTCCGGAGTCGTCTGCGTTTGAAGCTAATGGACATTTTATTGAAGAAATTTACTCTTTAGTATTTCAAGAAATTTTGTATAATTTTGGTAAATATATCTGTTAAAATGAGATGTCAGTGTTATTTTCATTTTGGTGTCATTTAGACGACAATTTATCCATCGCACCTTTGTGTGTATGTGTGTGTGTGTGTGAAAGAAAAAATGAAATTGAGAGAGACGCAGCAATTCATTAAATATTTGCTGAACCGCTGTTTGGCCCAATACAAGCTTAAACGTAGATTAATGAGGTTCAAGATAACACTTATACAAGTCTCTATCTATCTATCTATCTATCTATCTATCTATCTATCTATCTATCTATTCTCTCTCTCTCTCTATATATATATATATATATATAGAGAGAGAGAGAGAGGGAGAGAGAGGGGGGAGATACATAAAATCAACAACAACGTGACTTGACAATAAAAGGCTCACATCACCATACAACATCTACTTTCTATATAGTCCAATGAAATCGTCACTCGTTTTATGTATACGTGCAAAAATGTAGCTTTGATCCTGAAGACGTAAGACAGTGGGACCAATTTATCACAAATTGAATGGATTAGTAAGTGACATAAGGTGCGGTCAGATTTTTCAAGATTTTATCTCCGACCATTAATTTGATACTGACAGTATATTCCCTTGACTGCATCCTTGAAAATCAGTATTCAAAATTCTGTTCTGTTTTGTTAACGGCTTGTGATTAATATGAAATTACTATCTTCTAATCATGATAGAGAAACAATTTTACTTTCCATCAGCATGTCATATGTTCATCTCCAAGAGAGTGGCTCAGGACAACTTCCTGGCCTCACGTTTTCCACTGACAGAAAGTCGAACGATTATATTGAATTAATTGTTAGGCCTGTAGTTAGGAAAGTTGGTTCACTGTGTCGCGAGAGACAATTTTTCTCATCAGAATCTAACTTTATCGATTCGTCCGTGCGTTGAATACTGCGGCCATATTTGATTTGATGCTGCTGATATATATATCTTGAAATTCTTCAGAAAATCCAAATGATTAAATAATGTTATCGGTCCTGGCATCTCCACTTCAGTCACTTTCCCCATCTTAAGTATTTTCATGGAAATTGTTCTAATGAGCTTCCTGCTTTGTCTATTTGACTATATAAAAATTTAAGCGAAGTACTAGATTGGCAATTAGGTCCCACCGTTTTACTGAAGGAATAGCTAGATGTTCTATTCTTTTCTCGTCTTTGAATTCTCTTTCACTTTCTTTTTCTTCAAAAATTTAAATACATCAATCGTCATATTCTGTCTTCCGGAAACATTTTCTTTTATTGTCTTTTCTCCTAACTAAAGTCTTCTCATTCTCTTTCACTCCCAGTAACCCCTTTTGCGTCTTAGTGGCATTATCGCTTTGCTTGGAGTGAAATAATTAGAAAAGGCTAGCGTTCCAACCAATGCTACACGTAAAAATGTGCTAGTATCACAAGCAAAAACTCTATTTCTTTAATTAGCCATTTAATATCGTAAAACAATTCCCAATTGTAGTGAATACGGTCTTCATTAGTTACTCAACCTCAAAGCCAGTAAATAAGTAACTCACACACACACACATTATATATATATATATATATATATATATATATATATATATGTGTGTGTGTGTGTGTGTGTGTGTGTGTGTGTGTGTGCAGAAAGAGAGGAAAGTAGAGAGTAAACATAGCTAAGAATATGTCTACCAGTGTATGGCGCGATTTTACCGAGTTGTCGGCGACAAGGCAGACATAAATTTGTGTGTTCCATTGTTCGCCTGTCTCGATGTAGGCAGGCAGTTTCATAATTACGTCGTCGCGTAGGTAGAAAGGTAAATACTTACGCCTTTTCACAATCGAAAAGAACGATTTTTTTTTTTTATATATATATATATATATATATATATATATATATATATATATATATATGTGTATATTTTTTTTTTACTTTTACCAATAATTGATGCATCTCGGCTGTCTCATTCTCACCACCCTCGCCCCTCTGTCACCATCGCAGACAGCATCAATAAAATGTACCATTCCCTTCCCTTCCCCGTCCTTCTCCTCTTTCTCTCTACCACTTGTCATACCACCGCCACTATCGTCAATCTAACTACCATTTAAGAACCACCGCTGTCACAACGACCATAGAATCCTTCTTCAAAATCTTGCTTTTAATTTGAAATTTAAATCGACTGAGTTCGGTGGGTGCATCAGTAACTCGTTCACATCTAACGCCACATGTTTCTGTTATAAATGAAAATCATTTTATTTTGGGCACCTACCGTATCCCGATAACTATCAAATTCGTCTAAAAGATGTTAACGCAGTGAATTCAATTCTTATTTGGGCGCGTCCTGGGTATGACGATAAACTACATCCAGCAGCAAGGCCTCTGATCAGGAGATTTTGAGGAGAGTGCAAGCACCTCTTAATTGCTGATGTTCCCAGGTCCACTCTGACCAGGGGTGGTAGCACCTGTTAAGGTCCCAACTATGGGCAAATAGTTAACACCCAAACGTGAGTAAAAATAAGTTTTAATACCAGATTTACTTTATAATAAAAAAAATTATTACCAGAAATAATTTTTGAAGGAAAAATTATTATCAGCAATACGTTAAAAAAATACCAGCAATACAAACAGTTATACATTCTTTGAAAAAAAATATGACCAGCTATAAATTTCATCAAGGAAAATATTCCCAGAAATAGATTTTTGAAGAAAAAAATATTACAAGCAATAAAAAAAATCTTGTCGGCATTAAATAACCCATTGAGGTTGATATGCCGTAAAACAAAACAAACCAAACCAATCCGTATTTGGGCAACTCTTTTTTCCGACTTCGTGCCAGACTAAATTAAACTTAGTGGTAAATTAAACCGGGGTGGTAACACCTGTTATGGTCCCATCTATGGGCAAATAGTTAACTATTACCAGCAATACTTTTTTGAAAAAAATTGTTACCAGCAATACAATTTTGAAGGAAATATATTACCAGAAACAGATTTTTGACAAAACAAAATATTACCAGCAATAAAATTCATACGAATCTATCCTAAAAATGTTGTCGACATTAAATAACCCATTGAGGTTGATATGCCGTAAAACAAAATAAACCAAACCAATCTAAACCAAAGAATACATATTCTATTCATACGAATCTATCCTAAAAATGTTGTCGGCATTAAATAGCCCATTGAGGTTGATATGCCATAAAACAAAATAAACCAAACCAATCTAAACCAAAGAATACATATTCTATTCATATGAATCTATCCTAAAAATGTTGTCGACATTAAATAACCCATTGAGATTGATATGCCATAAAACAAAATAAACCAAACCAATATAAACCAAAGAATACATATTCTATTCATACGAATCTATCCTAAAAATGTTGTCGACATTTAATAAGCCATTGAGGTTGATATGTCGTAAAACAAAACAAACCAAACCAATATCAACCAAAGAATACATATTCTATTCATACGAACCTATCCTAAAAATGTTGTCGGCATTAAATAACCCATTGAGGTTGATATGCCATAAAACAAAATAAACCAAACCAAATCAAACGAAAACTCACGGGTCGAATAGCGGGAAAGATAGACACGGGCAAACAACGCATGACATAGCTAGCGGCCTTAAGCAAGGGGATGACAAAACGTTGTCTGGGGGAGGTGGCAGAGGGAAGGAACTTGTTGAGAGCTGTAAGGGATAAAGGGAGGTGGAGAGCCATGATCGCCTACGCCCTGAGAGGACACGGCACTTAAAAAGAAAGAATCATTGATCCATCTTGTCATTTTGATACAAAAAGCAAAAAAGGTGTAATCAACTATGACTAATTAAAGCTTGAAATTTACAAAGGCTTTATGAATTGAAGAAGGTCACCATCATACCAGTTGTTATTTGTACACTTGGTATGATTAACCAGTGGAATTGTGATAGAATAGAAACATCTTGGGAGCGGCAAGAATAATCCGAAAAGTAATAAATACTTAGAGGAAAATTCCAAGATTTCTAAATCAGTTGTCTGTGGCCTGCTATCCACACATGAATTACCAGACATTAAAATCTTATCTGAGAAAATATTGAATTAATAATAATAATTTCTTGTTTTGTATTGCGCTTATCTGCATATTCGTCTGTTAAGTTGCTTTTCAGAATTTGATTTTTGGCTCAACCTTAAAAAGAAGAAACATTTATAAATACTTTCATTGTCCGACGTTGGATGTGTCGTCCTGGGAATGACGATAAACTACAACCAGCAGCAAGCCGTCTGATCAGGAG